AGGTCTGTCTGGTGCGTGTCAAGGCCCTTTACAGCTTGACCCCAAAATAGTCGTTCTCTGGCGTTCCACAGCTGTGGTTAATGATTTTCCTGATCACCCAAGATCTGCCTTCCCTATGACAGCTTATCCACTGCTCGGGTCCAATCAGATCTTGTCTCTCCATAACTTTCTCTAGTTCCTCCATGAAACTCCTATCGTCAGTCTACTCCTTGCTTGTGAGCCCTTAAAATGATTCAGTCACGTTTACATAAAAGAACTTTCTAAAAAGATCTCAGCTCTGGGATTTTCTTATTTAAGGTCAAAAGGGAAGAAAGAACACTTGGAAGGTGCTTGATTTTTTGTTCTTTGTCTAAATTATTTCAAGAATATACTTCCAGTTATAGGAACAAGATCAGTACCCCAAATTTCAGCTCTCTGTAGTTGTGCTGCCAAGCCAAAGGCAGATGGTTTGGATTCACCAGCTGTTCCACTGAGAGAGATGGGCAATCTCCACGTGTATAATTCACTGCCCCTGAAAATCCGCTAGAGGGTCAGCTTTGAGTCAACCCCAACTCGACAGCCATCAGTTGGTTTTGCTCGCCCGCCATCTGTGCTGGGCTTTCCTTGAGTTCTCCTTCTCTCATTGGCATCGAATCAGCACCAGCTCACTGCTGACCCTCCAGTGTGTGCTGGAGGTTGTAGATCGCACAGGAGGAGACGGCCCATCTTTCTCCTGTAGAGTCACTGGTGGATTTGAACCACCAGAGAGATGTCGCCTTTGGGTTAGCACTGCACCTCCCTGTGGGTGACACCGCCAGAGCACACTCCTTCCTTCATATTTTGTATTGTAAAAAGTTGATGGTTACTTTCAGGACTTTTGAGATGTGGTAGTGAATAGTTTAAGGCAGGACTTTGAAGAAAAAGAAATAGTTGAGATTGTCCAATTGAAAGAAATGTTGTTTTAAAACAACTATTTATGGAGGTAAGGGTTGTTTGTTTTTAAAAAATGGATAAACACGTTTAAGAGAATTTATGGTGTATAATTAATTGCACTGATGAAAAACCAAAGTTATAAAATAAAGTGGCTATGAATAATGGCATGAAAAAAATCCATATGAATGGTAAACTGTCACTTAACTAAAAAAAAAAATTAATAAAAACCAAAACATAAAACCAAATAACCAAATTGAAAACAATATACTTCCTTGTGCGTCATCTAAGATGTCTCCTATGCTCTCTTATACTGAGAGAGTATGAAGGTTCCAGTCTTACATTCTAGGAAACATCCATTTGGAGAAGAGTTTATTTAAGAGATTTACATGAAGAACTTCACAGAAACAAATCCACTATTATTTCACCTTCTTCTTGTTGTTAATGGCTGTCTACTCACAGGCAACTCATAGTGACCCTATGAATGAAAGACCTGAAAACTTGTATAACTTTCATCATTTCTCCAGGTTCACAGAGTTTCCAGGGGCAAGTTATTTTAGAAGTGGATGCCACTCCTGCTTCCAAGCTTGTTTTAATCTGGGAGCCCCACCAAACATTGTCCACCATGGGTAACCATTATTGCATTTGACACATCAGTGTCACAGTGTTCAGATTCACAGCAACCACGAGTTACCTCTGTACAGCAAATGGATAGCCCAGTGGTGTACCACTCAGAAGAATGTTTGACCAAAAACAATTAAAATCAGGCCTGAGGGCCACAGATGAAAATCACCCATCTTTGGCTTGGTAGCATCACTTTCTGTCCACCAGGCCAACAGAGCTCTCTCTATCTTGTATTTCACCTTGTTGTTATGTGCCATCAAGTCGCTTGCGACTCATAGCGACCCAATGTACAACAGCCCTAAACTCTGCTCTGTCCTGTGCCAATCACACTGTCTCCAACACACTCATCCCAATTACCCCAGTCACTGAATCAATCCACCTCATAGAGGGCCTTCCCCTCCTGCACTGTCCCTCCACCCTACCAAGCATGATGTCCTTCTCCAAGGACCAGTCTCTCCTTACAGCATGTCCAAAGTATGTTAGATGGAGCCTCAGAACCCTTGCCTCCAAGGAGCCACCCGGTTTAACCCTTTCCAGGATGAATCTGTTTGTTTTCCTAGCAGTCCATGGTACTCTCAATACTCTTCTCCAGCACCAAAGCTCAAAGGCATCAATTCTCCTTCTATCCTCCTTGGTCACTGTCCAACTCTCTGATGCATAACAAGTGATAGCAAAGACCATGGTCTGTATCAGATGCACCTTAGTCTTCAGAGTGACACCATTGCTCTTCAGTACTTTGGAGAGGTCCCTAACAGCAGACTTTCCCATGGCAATATGCCTTTTAATTTCCTGCCTGCTGGTGCCAAGAGTGTTAACTGCGGAGCCAAGCAGACTAAAGCTCTGAACAATCTCAATCTCTTCACCATCCATCCTGATGCTGCCAATTGGTCCAGTGGTGAGAATCTTTGTTGTCTAGACAGTGAGTCTCAATCCTTAGCCAAAGATAAAAGGGTACTAGTGTGTATTACCTTAGTGTTAAGGAGCTGCACTGACAACTCAAAGACAAGCAATTCAAATCCACCTCAGGAAGGAGATGGGCAATGTCCTCTCACATGATTGATAAATCTCTGAAAACACGTTGTGGGGTCAGCTTGGAGTTGGTTCTGACTCAACGGCAATTGGGTTTGGGGGATTTTTGGGGCTGGGGGTTTTTTTGGGTGTTTTTTTTCTTTCTGTTATTATCTGTTAGTAATAATTTTGGAGGTTAAAGAAAGTATATTGTAGAACAATGCAAAACAGCTTTTTTTCTTTTAGGTTATAATTGACAACAATTTGAGTTCTTTCTTTAAAAACTGGCCAGTGATCCAGTCAGTCATAAACAAACTCAGTGTTTTTCAGAGTCTGGGGGAAATCAGATGTTGTCCACTAGGTTCGGCCATACAGGATGGATGTGAACCACACGACGAATGCTAGCCATCTTTCCAACCCCTTTCCCAAATCCTCCACCTCCAAAAGCAGAAATAAGCTCAGCTGTGTCTATAGTAATTCCATTAACCCCACAAAGCAGCAGGGTTAATGGGATTGTTGCACTGCCTATTGTCATTATTAAAGCGCCTAGTGCAGATTCTTCCTTTGCTATAAAGGGAAATATACCTCATAAGGTCTGCATTTTATGCTACTACGCACACATTTATTGGAGAACACGAATAAATAAGTCAGATGCAAGTTGTGACATCTCCAGTGGGGGTGTCACCACTGTGGAGATTTTCACCCCCTCCAAATAAGAGGGATCTCTGGTGTCCTAGTGGTAAGGAGGTGGGCTACAAACACAAAAGTACATAGTTCAAATCGACCAGCTGCTCCGTGGGAGAAAGTTGGGCAGCCAACACCCATGTGATTTACTGTCTCTGAAAATCCACTGGAGAATCATCTATGGGTCAATTCTGACTCGATTATACACAACTACAAGAAGAGGGGTTCACATCTGCAGTTTATAGGGTTACTATGAATCACAGTGACTGAAGGGCACCTAACAATAACAAGAAGATTTACCACAAAGATGTTAGCTTCAGAAAAGTTTAAAAAAAGCAGTTTTCAAATGGATTCTTTCACTAAGTTCACAAATCTGCACTTTTTTTCAGTACAAGAAAACAGCCATCAAGCACTGGCACTCTGGTGGGAAGTCTCTTGTCATTGCTGATATGAGTCTCAAACCCTGAAAAGGGAGGGAGGGGATTTGGAAGGATATGTTCAAGTTAGAGGCCACAGTCCAAGTTCCCAACAACCAATTTGGTGTTCTGTGCCTTGTCACTTGACGCTCCCCAGCCTTCCCTGAGATAATGTAAAGATTCTGTTTCAGCAACTTCCATGTTAACTGTGCCTGTTCAGTGTTTTGCCTTATTTCTCCAAAGCCAATAAACTACAGAAGTTGGTTCGTTCTTTGTGAAAAGTACATTCTGCTACGAACAGCAGGAACCTATACTTGACCCTCGATTTTGTTTTTCTGACACATGAAACTTCTTGTTGCTATTAGGTGTTGTCAAGCTGCTTTTTTACTTTTAACAAGCCCATGAGACAGAGTACAGCTGCCTCATAGTATTCTCTGGGTTGTAACTTTTATGGGAACATATCATCAGTTCTTTCTCCCATGGAACCACTGAGTGGGTTTGCACCACCAAGCTTTTGGGAAGCAGGCAAGTTTTTAACTGTCACACAACCAGGGTATTTTACATGGAGTACAGCACCTGAAAAGCTAAGTCCTTTCAAATCACTCACATCTAAATGTTATGTGTCAAGACTATCAAAAGTCTTGAAGAGTAAAGTTAATAACAGATATTGAAGTGTAGAACGGTATCATGTGACCATTGAGAGAAATCCTGGAAATTATATTGTCAAATGCTTCCTTTACTATTACTTAAGATCATGCTACTGGTTTCTGTAAGAACACAATATTGGTGTCTGGATGAGTAAAGAGTAGAAACATGGGAACAAATATTCTTCTTCCTTAATCCTTGTGTTTTCTGAAGTTGTATTTCTTGCACAGTGGTGGCAATAAAGAACTATCAACCCCTATCATGCCAACCCCACAGCACCCGGTATATAAGTCTATATCCGGCTCCTTTCAACAGGAGCTTTACGCTGAAACCTAGTCTCCTAAGGCTGAGAACATTCTCTTCCGCACACAGACCTGTGTACCGCCAGGAATTCTCTCCAAGGTACCATACCTAGAAAGCTGGCTAATGAGAGAGGAAGTTAAGCAGATCCCTGGGGCCGGTTGCCCTGACAGAGGTGTAGTAGCAACAACCAAAACAACAGAGTCTACCCCCCAACTCAATTAACTACCTGTATTCACAACCTAAAGAGCTGTGTGCCCTTTGTCACCTATTGAACCAAACACTCCAGATAAGCCAGCTTCTAGGCCTCTCCACCTCTCTGTGGGTTAAGGAAGCCTAGGTATGCTCTCACTAATGCTACCCACCTTTGGGATAACCACCATGGCAGGCCAACCCTAAAAAAAACACACTTACCTGTCAGCATCTCCAAGGCCCAGGGAGGTATTGCGTTGCAGAGTCTCTCGCACCACTGCCATCCCATCAGGGAGCCGGTTCAGGCGACGGGTGTAGAGGCCAAGTCCACCATCTGTCATGTACCTTTAAAAGGAGAACAGGATGATGTAAGATGTGGTCAGAGTCCTGTGTGGTCTTGTCACTTATATCCTCAAGTCAGCATCACTGTTGTATGACCCAAAGGGAAGGCACTGTGGATCTCTCGAGGCCCTGAGCCGATCAGAGCCCAGCGAAAGCTCAGCTGCTGTTTCAACCTAAAGGCTCACTGGCTTTACTAGCAACAAAAGGAACTCAGATTAATTAACTCAAGCTCCCCGGGATCTAGAAAGCAGAAGGGAACTGAAGAAGAAAATGAACTGTCAGATGTATTCATGACCCTTTTAATGTAAGCAATTGTGCAAGCAGGTGTTTTACCAAAGTCATGTGAAAAGAATAGACAAGTCATTAGCAAATCAGAGGGAAAGATACAGCAAAAATGTAGTAGAGAAAGCAAACAAGCTTTAGAATGGAGGCACAAAGGAAGGGATGGAGACTAGAAGAACCACTTTGTAGTCTTGAAACTCTCAACTCGTCTGTGCCATCACCACTTGGTCCTAGGTCTTTAACCTAAACTGAAGGAGCATCATAGCCCTAGTGACCTGCTTCATAAGATGGACAAGAGAGAAGGAATATGAGTGCACCCCGCAACCTGAAAAACAGATCATAAACAACACATTGTTATGGTTACCAGCATCCAGAATTATTTACAACTGATACTGACACCATAACTACAAGTGAAAGTAGACAGGAAAAACTACAAGTGGATCATTTTAAGTAGTCTCCCCTGTGGCATGAATGAATACATGTATTAGTAGAAACCAAAACACACAGACATAGTTTAGCAATAGTGCTATTGAAAGGCTACTGATTTTAGTTTTTCTTTTCTCTTAAATGCTAACAAACTTGACATTTAAGACATATGACAAAGTAAATGTAATGCTTTATCTGCCTGTCCTGATGGAAGACCCCCAGGGAGATGGACTGACATTGTGACTGCAACGGGCGTGTCAGAGATGATGAGGATGACAGAGTTCAGATGTGTTGTTCATAGTGTTGATATGAATTATACTTGTCTCAGCAGCAGCGAACAAAAATGGGCAAGGAGTTTCACTGCCAAGCCAAAGGCAGGATGTTCGAATCCATTGCTGTTCTGTGGTAGAAAAATAGGCAATCTTTTCCTGCATAATCTATAGACTTTGAAGTACTCTGGGGGATCTTCTATGAGTTGGTGCCAACTTAAAAACATATTAAAACAATCTGTCTCGTCATCCATTTATCTTTTTCTTTAAAATTATTTATTTGTGTGTGTGTGTGTGTGTGTGTGTGTGTGTGTACCATCAAATCAGATCTGATTGGTACAGGAGGAGATTGCCTCTCCTTCTGCAGCAGAGCATCTGGTGGATTCGAACCGTGTGCCTCTGGAATTGCAGTGTAGTTTCTTGCCACTAGGCCACCAGACCTCCCTAGTTGTCCATTTATCTAGTAGTGATTCCTAACCCGGGTTCCAGCAGGAGACTACCAAAATCTGTATAACTAGCATAGAAGAAAAAAAAAAATAAAGGAAAAAACCCATCTATTCCAAAAGGGAGTAAACTCTGCCAAAGGCTGGACTTTCCAGATCAAATGTCCTTTCAAGGAGAATTCAGTGGAATTCTCTTTAAAACACAATCTGTTCCATCATTAAGAAAGCAGTTAATTTGGATTTTAGCAAAGTCTGCTCAGCCAGATAAACACAATGTTTTCAAAAGGGGAGATCTTGACAAAGAACAAACAAACTAATTTTAGCATTCATTTCCCCACTGGATTTTTATTGCTGGTGAAATAACACACACGGTTGGGCAATTACATGCACTTGGGCATGTGGATGAGGCCAACACATAGCCCTTTCTGCTAAGGTCAGAGATCCAAGGCTGATGGACACCCCAGAGCTGGAATGCTGTGCTGTACTGTGGCCCCAACCCAGTAACACTGTGTGCAATGTGTGTGTGGGAGGGTTGGTCCAAAAAATAACAACAGAAAAGCTGGGAGGGCCTTGTAAAGATGGAGCTGAACATGCTGGCCTAGTGTATCAAATGCTGCTGGGAATTCTGACTTTGAGCAAAGACAAAGCTCTATGGTTTGCCTTCTCAAAGGTACTAAGAATGAAATACTAGGGAGTTGAACATAACCCATCTGACAGTGACCTAGTTTCAAGTGCAAATCAATGTCATTCACTCTGTATGTATGTGTATGTAAGTAGGAGTAACTTCTCCAAAAGGTTTCAAAAATATCCAATCACTTACTTTTTAATATCCTTCAAAATAATTTCTTTTGTGCATCTCTTACTGTGGGATAGCACAGCATGAAGAAAGTACTGCTACCAGAAACAGCCTTACTTGTGAGAATCTAGTAGAAATATTTCTAAATTATTAAACACTAACTGTAATAGTTTGAGTTTGATTTACAAATAGGGGTGTGTGTGTGTGTGTGTGTGTGTGTGTACACAGTCAAATCATATCCCACTGGTACCGGAGGAGATTGCCCCTCCTTCTTCAGCAGAGCATCTGGTGGATTCGAACCATGTGCCTCTGGGATTGCAGTGATATTTCTCTATTTTTAAACAACACTCCCAGTTTCAATGGAAAATGTATTTTTGTTGGGTGGAATTTTTACAGGAGTTGAATAAACAAACACAGACCGTCTTAATAAAGTTAGTCCCTTAAGAAAGTGTAACTCATAGGTGGACATGGTCATTAGTGTGTTCTTCTGAAATGCTGGCCTTTCCCCAAAAGCTCTGTCTTCTGAAGAGAATGGGAGGCAAGGAAGTGGTAGCCTCACCAGAGATGCACAGTGAGTAAGAAGGAAATGACTTGCCTGAGGTCACAAGGAAAGGAGCTAACAGATCCAGGGACTATATCCCGGAGCACCGGCGCTGCACTTTTCTCCTCCTTGGGGAAATAAATAATTAGTCCTAGAGCTTAATGAGGTGCTGGTAACACCCTAAGGTTGGCTTCGAAGGTTCCTAACCAAGCTGCCAAGTTTCTGAACAATCTCTGTATTATGTATTCCAAGTTCTACTGGAGGAGGGGACTCTGATTCCACTCCGATAACTTCCTCATAACCCCATGATGCTGGGAGTGGGGTCTCCGCTAAGGAGACAGTGGTCAGGGTGAAGGCTACTTCTCTTGTTGTTTAGATGCTCCATACTTTCAAAGTAGGCCTTCATTTTACAGGTTATGTTATAATGGTATAGAACAAAACTAGATTCAGGAGAGCACACAAAGATGGTCAACGACCACCTTTGCCCTTTATAGCTGAGTGCTCACTATTATTAATAAGAGCTACCAGTTGACATGCAGATGGTACAGATCAGGGCAAGGTTTCCTTCTTGCCACGAGTCAAAGCTAATTTGATGACAACTAACAACAACAGTTTCTGGAAGTTTGCTGGGTACTATGCTAAGCGCTTTACATTAATCATGGCATTGAATCTTTAAAATAATCTTATCAGGGAGGCATCCTGTTATCTCTATTTCAGATGAGGAAAATAAAACTGGTCAAGATCACACTTCAAGCAGATGGGTTCATCTAACACTTCCTCGGGTTGGTACAATGTCTATCTCAGTTTCCTTATGTGCAAGTTGTGTGAATTACAAATTGAGTTGGAGCTTCATGTATCAGCATAGAGGTCCAGTGCTTGGTGCACAGGAACGCTCACTAAATCCTATCATTATCAGCACCTGCCCACATCATAGGGTAGCAATTCTGCATTTACTTCTCCAGTTTTCACTGTAACAAACATCAAGTACCACGTACTGTGTCAGGCTGAGGTTATCCAAATAGAAAGGCCTAGTTCCTGCCTTACCTTGGAGAGACTCAGTGTCTCTCAGGGGACTTCAACATGTGAATAAATTCATATCCATGAGCAGTATAACAGATGAATGTACAATCCTGGTCACGCATCAGCAAGGAAGTGTTATTTCACCTTGGCCTTTGAAGGACATACCTGCTCACTCAGCCATGACCATCAAGTTAGAGCTGACTCACACTTGACCCTCCATTGGGTTTCTCTGGCTGTAAACTGCATGAAAGGATACTGCCCATCTTTTTCGTTTGGAGCAATGGGCAGATTTGAAATGTCAGAAAGACGCTGCTGTCAAGTTAGCATCAGAACGCCCTACAGACGATTCCACCAGAGCTTCCCTTGAAAGGTGCAAAGGAGGACAGGAAGCCAAGAAATAGGCTCCAACTAGGCAGATGAATGGTGTGTTCAAAAGCAGAGAGGAATGTAAGAAGAAGGTATTCTAAGAGAAGAGAATGGTGTTCAATGGTGCCACCTTGAGCACTGAGAACACTGGGAATGAGGGCATGAGCTGAGAAAAGGGTACAGACATGAACTCTTAGCTGTCAATTAGGCCATCCTTTCCCTGCAAGTTAAAGTAAACATGGAAGTACTAAGCCGACTGAGTTCTCAAAGAGAACACTGTTTTCTCAAATCTTCCCTCATACTGCATTCCATTTTTGGTCAACATTTCACACTATTTCCTTCTCCAGGTTTTTCAGACACACGACTTTTAATCCTGTCTGAGTCATCCGAGACCTGTGAGTAATGACTAGACCTGCAGACCTCACCAACTGAGCTCTGAGAAGGCACCATGCCCCCAATGAGGAACTTTCTTAATAAAACAGATGCGCCCTATGAAGCTGACACCAGCTATGAAAAAGCTTTGTTATCTTATAGGACCTGTTAGAACAAAGAGAACAGAATTCTAGTGCAGCGCTTAGTAAACAGATTCCTTCTCCTTCCTGGAATGTAATGATGCAACAGTGTGGAACCAAGTGAAACTGGCTTTGTGAGCCACCTCCAAACGAGGAAAAGGTGATTTCTCACTCGCGAAGTTCACATTTTGACAAGGCCGCAAAAGCAACACAAACTGACTTTCACTGATCTCAAATCACCTTCCGTCAAGGACTGGCACAGGTGATGGGAGGTGGGAAGGGAAAGAAAGAATGCATTAGCCTGATCCAGTTCCGTAAAAGTCTAATAGAGCACAGCAACACTCAAAA